GGTGACCTTTGATGTTGGAATCAGGCATGGCAGGCACAAGGTGATGTAGTGGGAGTGGTGTTGGTACCTGGAGTGGTAGGGCGTGGGCGAGGTGCATGGGCTCGCTGTGCAGTCCCTGCAGGTCGAGTGCCTGAGGGGATGGGCATGGTGGGCGACAGGTGGTGGGAGAGAGGGGAATGGCAGGAGGTGAAGGTAAGGGAATGGGGGAAGGGAGTGGAAGGTGAGAGCATGGTGGACAGTGCATGCTGACAGTGCATGCTGACAGTGTGATAGCGCATGGTGACAGCAAGGCAGTACATGCACGTGGTGCTCCATGGAGCTCCGTGGCAGCACAAAGGACGCGAGAAACAAAGGCCACAGCAGCAGCAGCAGCAGCAGCAGCAGCAGCAGCAGCAGCAGCAGCAGCAGCAGAAGCAGCAGCAAAGCACCCACCATGAGGCGGGGAAAGGCGGAGGCGAGGGTGAGGAAGGAGGCGGGCGTGAGGGCACAGGGGCTGAGCGACAGCGCTGTGAGCGGTGGCGGCCCTGCCAACGCCAGTGCTGTCACGGCCTGCTCAGGGGATGGGCGCAGGGGAATGAGGGAAAGGGAGTGCATAGGCTGAGTTTGGGCAGAAGCATGCAGGGGCGAAAGCCCCCTGAAGGGGTGAAAATCTTCTGGACAGATACTTGCACTTGCAGAGGGTCAGACCCAAGCCCCTTGAGAAGCACATCACCTTAGGGTGCATTGTGCAGATCTGACCTGGTGGGTGAAGCATGAGTGCGTGCTCCACAGCGTGTCCGCCTTCACCGACTGCCCAAAGAAACTGCGGTGGGATGGGTAAGCCGCGAGGGAGAAAATCCGGTGAAGCACGGATGGCGAAACACGACACAAATGCGACATGCCAGAAGTGCAAGGGATTGACGTAGTGAAGATGAGCGGATGTGAATGAGGCACGGAGTGGTGTAAAACGGTGCATATGTATGTGCTTGTGTGTGAGAGATGTGTGGACTGACGGCATGTGCAGGTCGATGACAAGCATCTGAAGGCATGGCAGCGCGCCCACACATGCCATCATGGCCGGCAGGTCGCATGCGAACACCACGTGCTGCCATGGAGGGAAGAGCGGAGAGGGGAGGGCAGGGGAGAGGAGAAGGTGCGAGATGGAGGTGGGACGGACACGATGGTTCACATACACGCGACAGCTGCATGCATGACACATTACGGCTTGCCATGCATTCCCCGTGCCCCTATCCCTACCCCTTAGTGTGCACACCCCCCCATGAATGTGCAACACCCCCCCCTTTTTTTTCGTTGCTTCCTCCCTACCTGCAGTGTAAGAGTGAGCGCCTTGATGGCAGGGCACAGCGCGCCAATGCCCGCCAGCCCACGCGCGGACAGGGGCAGGCACCCGCACGGGTAGGGTGGAGGGGAAGGGTGGACGGCGGGGGAATGGGGGGAGGGAGGCGGCAGAGAGGCGCCCGGGAGGGGGGAGGAAGCGGGGGGTACGGGAGAGGAGGAGAGACAAGCAGCGGAAGGAGGAGAGTCGCGTAGAGGGGACGAGGCGGTGGGGGAAGGCGAGCAGGCACGCTGGGGGGACCCATACGAGTGGGACGGGGAGGGGGACGGGGAGGTGGAGAAGGGGATGTGGAAGGGGGAGGTGGGGGAGAGGAGGCTGTGGAAAGGGGGCGGGGAGCCGTTGAAGGTTGCGCCCATGCACACGTGCTGCACACGCAGCGCCTGCAGGCGCGGACACGCACGCAGAACCCGCCTGTGAGGGGCGAATTGGGGGAAGAGACAGGAGCGCGGATGAGAAACGGGGAGAAGTGAAAAGTGAAAAAGAAGAAAACGCGGTTGTCACTTCCCATTCTCCCTTTCCCCTCCTACCCTCACCGCCCGCCACTCACTGCAGTGTTTCATCCGTGATTCGCGGGGAGCGCAGGTCCACGTCACCCAGAAACCTGAAAAGTACAAGGAACGGAATCGTGATTCGCTGATTTTCCTCGCCCCACAGCCTTCATCGCAACCCTTGCCATTTGAAAGTTTCGAACAAAACGCTACCTTCACACCGCACCCCGCCGTTTACCCCACCTGCCGTGATTGACGGCGCGCGTGACCTCCTCCTCGAACGCCATCAGCTCGCCCTCCCTCGCCGCCACCGGCGACGGCGTGCGCGGCGACGGCCACGCCCCTCCTCCCCCGCCGTGCGCGCAACCCTCCCGCCACTCCACGCCGTCCATCCGCCTGCCGGTGAGCTTAGCTTCCGGCGTCGCGGGCGTCGTTCCGCCGAGCGGCTCGCAACTGGCGCAGCTAGAGAGGGAGCTTTCTCTGGGATCACCCGCGGCGTTGGCGGGAATTGTGTTCCCCGTGCGGCGGAGGTTTTGCGGCGTGCGGAAGTGGAGGAAGGGGGAGAAGGCGGCGGGGTTGAGCCAGAGCTCGGGGGGAGGCGGTTTAGGCGGCATAGGCGCGCGGGAGTGCGCGAGCACGCGGCTGTGCGCGGAGGGCGCGGTGGGGCGGTCGTCGTCGATCGCGCACGCGCGCAGCTGCGAGGGGGAGAGAGCGGAGATGCGCCACGCTCTGCGAAGAGAGCACGAACGCGGGGACACTATTTAGAGCGGAAAAACGACCCACCAAGCAGTAAAAATGGCGGAAAGCTGAAGTTTAAGGCATCTTCTTCTGACGCGGAGCGAACCTATTAACCCTGGCGGCTGTGGCGAGGTCGTCGAGGGACGGCAGCATCTGCAGCACCGACGACAGCACCTCCACTGGCACCCCCGTCTCCTCGCCGCTCCCTCGCCCCAAATCGCCTCGCCCTGCGACGCCTCCTGTCGCGTTCTCGTTGGGAACGGTTCGAAGGGGCGCCGCACTGCTGCTCAGGGCGAGGGAAGTGAAGGCCTTAGGCAGGTCCGACGGCTCCGCTACCATGGCGCCTCGTGACTGTGTAACGGAGAAAGAGACCAGGAGGCAGTTGGAAAATTGGTGGTTGAATTAGAGAACTAATGCAAGTGAAGGAGACAATGTTCTTTTACGACCTGAGACAATTGGATCTGGTGGTACAACTTCGTGTGGCGTTGAGGAGGAACATACATACCAACAATTCCTTTTCAACCATTCTCAACCAAAAACATTGTCTCTGCAACCACGACCGACGCTCGTGAAAGAGGAAAGTGCAAACGCGCCACGAATGATTCATTCTTTGGACGATTCATTCATTTGCTGGATGATTCAATTTCACTGACACCTGACACCGTGTTTTCCCGCGCTTTTCCAAAATGAGGTGCTGATCTGTTATCGAGTGTAAATTTACTTTTCAACAGAAAATCTCGATATGCGAAAGTATGTTACACGAAAGCACGGGTCTGTCAGCTGCGAGAACGGTAACCAGCTTCGTCATTGCCGTAGCTTCAGTGGAGTTCGCTACCCCATCCCATGCAAGCCAGGTGTTCTGAGGACACGTCACCTGAACCCCGATCGCAGATCGATCCTACGTAGGTTCGAATTTTTGCGTGGTTTAGTTGGCATCTAAAAATATCAACTGCGATGTGCGTAGTTTTAATGCGGTGGAAGGCGACTATGCAAACTCGAGCACCGTAGTCCACGCAACAACCTTCCACCGCACTGCACCACGGCTTGCTTCACATCACCACCCCGTTGTCAGCTTTATTTCGAATAAAATTTGGCTAGGCACTAGCATCCCTTGGGAAACGCGGTCAACCCTCCGCGTCGCCGCCATGGGCCGTGCAACGGCGACTAGCTCGTCGATCCTCACAGCTGTCCTTCCGTGTCTAGCGGCGGTCGTCGTCGCGCTCCTGCCACGTGGCGTCCAGCCCGTGACTCTCGCCGACTCCCAAGGTGCGCTTCTCGCAACTCATCCTCCGTGTCTCTAATCGTCTCGTCCTCCGCATCAGTCGCATACTTCTCAGCCTCATACTTCTCAGCCTTTAGTATGCGTTCTCACACGAGCCGGATCTAGCTCCTAAGCGCGCCACGCCCATTCAGCTGTCCAGTAGTCTTTCGCTCCAACGCGTCGCGACGCGCCACGGAGCCGTATTGCTTGTCGTTCGTTCACCTCGCATTGCTCCCTAGAGAACTGTTTTCGAATTCCGTTTTCCTGTTGCCGGCTGTGCCTTTCCGCCCTTTTTCATTCCGCACACTCGGCGCGCAGCGGCGGCGCTGAAGGAGTGCGCGGCGGAGTGGGGGATGCGCGCGACGGGATGGGCGCAAGGCGCGGACTGCGCGCACTCGAAGGGGGTCACATGCGACAACAACGGAATGGTCACGTCGTTGTCAGTTGCCCGGGGAACGTCCGCGCGCAGGGGGGAGCGTGGGGGGGAAAGCACGGGGTGGACAGGGGGCGATGCGGGGATCAGAGCAGGGGCGAAGGCGCGAGGGTGCAATATAAAGTGAATATAGTTCTTGCGATCAGAGTTCTCTTAGCTAGGGAATTTTTTACTCTTTTTCTTACATGCTAAAGATGTTCTCTAGTACTGCTGCCCTTCCAACCATGAGTGGACGGGGAGCAGAGCAGGGGCAAAGGCGCGAGTGCGCTGGGAGGAGGGGGGCGTGCGATGAGGGGAGCAGCAGGGCAGTGCAGATGCGTATGGGGCAAGGGCGTGGAGTGCCGTGCACCCTTGAGTGCTGCTGGCCAGTGCTGCTGCTACAGCTGCTGCCGGCCAGTGCTGCTGCTACAGCTGCTGCCGGCCAGTGCTGCTGCTACAACTGCTGCCGGCCAGTGCTGCTGCTACAACTGCTGCCGGCCAGTGCTGCTGCTACAACTGCTGCCGACCAGTGCAGCTGCTACAGCTGCTGCCGCTGCACATGCATGCCTTGTCAACTCCGTGGTCCATGCCATGCCACTCTCCTCGCATGCTTCTTTCATCCATCGCACCATGCGCACCATTGCTCGCTTGCTGCCTGCCCCTCCTCCCCAACCTTCCCATCCTTCCGCTGCACGCCGCGCAGGCTCCTGAATTATCAAAGCCTCACGGGGACAATCCCCCTCGCCCTCACCGCGCTGGCCCGCCTTACATCGCTGTGAGTGGCGTCGCGGTCATGGTGAGTGCCCAGAGACCCGCCCCACGCCACCCTGTGTGAGCCGCCTCGCTCTGCCCCACCTGCCCTCTCGCTCGCTCTCTCCCCACGTCACCCATCACATCACCCATCACATCACCCATCACATCACCCATCACATCACCCATCACATCACCCATCACATCACCCATCACATCACCCATCACATCACCCATCACATCACCCATCACATCACCCATCACATCACCCATCACATCACCCATCACATCACCCATCACATCACCCATCATCACGCCACCATCCCTCCTTCCCTCTTCCCATTCCCTTCCCTTGCCACCCTCCACCCTCTCGCCCCCCCCGGGGGCTGCCAGGGATCTGCAGTCCAACCATCTGTCCGGGCCCGTCCCCCCCGCCCTCTCCTCCCTCCCCCTGCACTCCCTGTAGGACGCACTGAGAGGCGCAGTGAGAGGCGCAGTGAGAGGCGCAGTGAGAGGCAGGCATGTGGTTCTTGAGTGGCCACGAGGGCTGCTTAGACGCCGGGGCTATGATTGTGCTGTATGATTGTGGTGTATGATTGTGGTGTATGATTGTGGTGTATGATTGTGCTGTCTGATGCCCTTCTGACGACTTTTGAGACGTCTCAAAAGCTGTATGATGTCCTTCTGTTCGCGATGCACGTGCGCACTTGTGCTTGTGGTCATGTGCATGTGTGCATCCCTTCATGTGTGCATGTGTGCATCTCTTCATGTGTGCATGTGTGCATCCCTTCATGTGTGCATGTGTGCATCTCTTCATGTGTGCATGTGTGCATCCCTTCATGTGTGCATGTGTGCATCTCTTCATGTGTGCATGTGTGCATCTCTTCATGTGTGCATGTGTGCATCTCTTCATGTGTGCATGTGTGCATGTGTGCATCTCTTCATGTGTGCATGTGTGCATCTCTTCATGTGTGCATGTGTGCATCTCTTCATGTGTGCATGTGTGCATCTCTTCATGTGTGCATGTGTGCATCTCTTCATGTGTGCATGTGTGCATCTCCGCATGTGTGCATGTGTGCATGTGTGCATGCTTACAGGAAGCTGAGTGACAACAACCTCACGGGTCCTGTCTTCACCGTCATTGCGCGCATGCCATCGCTCGTCCAACTGTAACCACCACCTGATCTTGGATCTCCCTTTGCTCTCACCACACGCGCACACACCTGCTGCACTGCTTATCAGAGGGTGGGTTCAAACTGTGGGGCTCATACCTTGCTTGCACTGCCTGCACTGTGCTGTCCTCCTCCTCCTCCTCCTCCTCCTCCTCCTCCTCCTCCTCCTCCTCCTCCTCCTCCTCCTCCTCCTCCTCCTCCTCCTCCTCCTCCTCCTCCTCCTCCTCCTCCTCCTCCTCCTCCTCCTCCTCCTCCTCCTCCGCCTCCACCTCCTCCTCCTCCTCCTCCTCCTCCTCCTCCTCCTCCTCCTCCTCCTCCTCCTCCTCCTCCTCCTCCTCCTCCTCCTCCTCCTCCTCCTCCTCCTCCTCCTCCTCCTCCTCTTCCCTTTTCTCCCTCCTGATCCACTTCCCGTCTCGTCCCCACCAATCTGTCTCCACGTACCTCTCTCCACCTCCCTCTCACCTCCTACCCCTCTTCCACGTTCGCAATGTCTCCACAATCGCCCACCCCCCCCACCCGCAACCCTCCAGCGAGCTCTATAACAACGGCTTCATAGGACCCATTCCACTCACCGCCTCGCGCCTGCAAAATCTCTCGTCTCTGTCAGTCCCTCGCCCTCCCACAGCATTCAGCTTTGCCTTCCCACACACCACAGCATTCAGCTCTGCCTTCCCACACACCACAGCATTCAGCTCTGCCTTCCCCATCGCCCTCTGTCTTCCCTCTTGCATTCACCATCCCCGCAGCATCCTCCATACTTGCTCGCACGCACGCCCCTTGTTTGCGCGCATCCTCGCAGCAAAATGAATCACAACAACAATCTACACCTGCCTGCTCTCCTCCTCGCAGAGTCTTGAATAGCAACGACTTTCACGGGCCATTTCCATCAGCCTTAACCCGCCTCACCGCCCTCGCCTACTTGTACGCCTCTCCACCCTCTCCTCTCTCCACCCTCTCCTCTCTCCACCCTCTCCTCTCTCCACCCTCTCCACCTATTCACTGCCAGCCTCATCCCCAACATGCCATGCCATGCCATAACATCCCGGGCCATCTGAATCATCCCATCCCAAACCATCCCACGCGTCGCTCCGTCCACCCCCCTACCCTCCCCAACACCGTCACAGGAGCATCGCATATACAGGCATCTCCGGCCGTCTGCTCCACGACATCACCGCACTCTCCTCCCTTACCACTCTGTAACGCATGCACGCCCATCTTGTTAACACACCGCTCGCTTGTTAACGCACGCCCCTCTTGTTAACACACCGCTCGCTTGTTAACGCATGCCCCTCTTGTTAACACACCGCTCGCTTGTTAACGCACGCCCCTCTTGTTAACACACCGCTCGCTTGTTAACGCACGCCCCTCTTGTTAACACACCGCTCGCTTGTTAACGCACGCACGCCCCTCTTGTTAACACACCGCTCGCTTGTTAACGCACGCCCCTCTTGTTAACACACCGCTCGCTTGTTAACACACGCACGCCCCTCTTGTTAACACACCGCTCGCTCCCTGATTTGCTGGTCATAACTTGAGTCCCTGTAACACAGGCGTCCTTCCATTGTGGTACGCAAACGGCATGCCTGCATGCCTGCATGCCTGCATGCCTGCATAGCTGCATAGCTGCATGCGGCACTGCACTGCAGGTAGGGCAGGGAAGAGGGGGGCGTGCCTTCCATGGCTCTCTTCCCTGCACTGCACCACCTGTAACGCTCGCCTCTCTTCCACAGGACTCGATGCTTGAGTGTCATACAATTCTTGTGTCATGTGTGATAATTCTCCATAGTGACTTGCACATGTCCCTTGTATGGTATGTACTTGCTTGCATGCGGCATGCGGCACTGCCATCATCAGCTACGCGCCAAGCAACAACATCTCAGGAAGCATCCCCAGCACCATTTCTGCCCTCTCCCGCCTCGTGTCCCTGTTGGTTGCAGACACACAATCCCTCCTCTTCCTTTCTTTTTTCTGATGATATTTTGTATGATTATTATTCTAGATAACATTATGTAAACGTACAAGTCTATGCATTACAACCACTTCTGAAGCACCTTGCCCTTTTCCAGCTCTTGCTTGCCCGCGCCTCTCTGCTGCTCTGCTGCTCTTTGTGGTTCGCTCATGGAGAAGGCTGAATGTGAGTCCAACATCACGGGTATATAGAATAAAATTCAAGGACAATCCCTCCTGTCCGCTCCATACCCCTTCCCCATCCCCGCCACCCCCCTCCCCACCCTTGCCACCCCTCTGCCCCACCCGTGTGCACAATCACGACAGGGAACTGAGTCAGAACCCTCTCCTCTCTGGCTCCCTGCCTCGCACCCTCTCTCGACTCACAACCCTCCAAGTGCTGTCAGCGCCCCTCCTCCCGCTCCTCCTCCTTTCCCCCCACACCTGTTTGCGGTTCTCCCCTGCTCCTCCCCTTCGCCCCCTTGCTTCGACTTGACTCTTCACCCCGCTGCACCGCTTCTCACCACTCTGCCGTGCAGCCCTCCTATGGAAGCTGCTGTCTCCCCTCTCCTCGCTCACGTCCCCCTCTCCTCGCTCACGTCCCCCTCTCCTCGCTCACGTCCCCCTCTCCTCGCTCACGTCCCCCTCTCCTCGCTCACGTCCCCCTCTCCTCGCTCACGTCCCCCTCTCCTCGCTCACGTCCCCCTCTCCTCGCTCACGTCCCCCTCTCCTCGCTCACGCCCCCCTCTCCTCGCTCACGTCCCCCTCTCCTCGCTCACGTCCCCCTCTCCTCGCTCACGTCCCCCTCTCCTCGCTCACGTCCCGCTCACAAGATCATGTCCCATCCCATGCTGTCACTTATGCTACGGCAATGCCGTCTGCCTCCCTGCTTTGCTTGCCAGCCCTCATCTCCCTCCCATTTAACATGCCCTCATCTCCCTCCCATTTAACATGCCCTCATCTCCCTCCCATTTAACATGCCCTCATTCCCCTCCTTTCCCCCTTGCCTGATCTCCCTTCTCCCCCTCCTTGTTTCATCATCTCTCTTCCCCATCCCCCTTCTCCCTCTTCCCCTTCCCCCTTCCCCCTTCCCCTTCCCCCTTCCCCCTATCCTCTTTCTCCCTTTTCCCAGGTCACTGAGAGACACAGCCGTTGCGGGCATGCTGCCTCTGTTTCTCACCGCCCTCACCCAACTCACCTCGCTGTGCGCCACACTGCACCACGCTGTACCCCTCTCCCTCCCTCTCTGCACCTCTGTCCGCCTCTCTGCACCCTTCCTGCCATTTCTATATCTCCTGTTTCATTCCATCTCTGGATCGTGCAATTTCAACTGATTAAATTCAAAGAAATGTGAAGGAGCAAGCCGCCTGTCATCTCTTCTAACCCACTCACCCAACGAGTCTTGCTTTAACTAACACCTTCCCTCCCGTTCTGTCATGGGCCGTTCTGTCATGGGCCGTTCTGTCATGGGCCGTTCTGTTATGGGCCGTTCTGTCATGGGCCGTTCTGTCATGGACCGTTCTGTCATGGGCCGTTCGGTTCCCACATCCCTCCTCTTCCCCCGCACCTCGCCCGCTGCCCCGTGCGTTTTTTTCCATTTCCCAAACCTCATCGCATTCAGTGACGTGAGCAACACGAAGCTTCACGGAACCATCCCCGCCACTTATGGAGGCTTGAAACTCGAATTCTTGTGTGATTATTGCGATTTGTCCCGTGAAACCCCCCGCAACTGTCTCACTCCAACCCATCATCACTTCGTGTGTTTGAAAATCTGTAAAAAATCATTCATGTTAAAGAACGTTTCAACTGAGTTCAGAGAGGTGTATACGAGGTGGGCGACTGGTGAATATGACTACTACGAATGTATTTACATAAGGCATTCTACACCTCCTGTGTTTTTCCCGATCCACCCCCGTGTATCCTCCACCTGCCCCTGCTCTCTCTCAGTCAGTTCTCTGGGGTACCGGTAGCTTGCCCAACGGAGGGCAGCAGCTGCGAAATCAATCAGAACCGTTCATCCACGTTCTGCAAGCTCTGTTCAACGTTCTGCTCCAAGTGTACTCCAATCAACGGTCAGGATCACCTCGATCATGCACCCAGCACTGCTACGATCAAATTATGTCACATGCGTCCCTACCACCTCTCACGTTTTCGCTCTGCGAAATCGCCCTCTATCAATCCTCCCAGGTTGCGCCTGACCTTTTCTTCCGTTCGCAAAGTTTATTACCTCCCATCCGCTGTAAGAAAAAAACAACTTCCTTTCGTTTTTGACTTACCGTTCGCAAAGTTTATTACCTCCCATCCGCAATAAGAACAAAAACTTCCTTTCGCTTTTGACTTACCATAACATCCCATCACGTCCCCCTGTTCCATCCATCCCATCCTCCCCACATCCTGATCCCCTCCCCCCCAGCACCCATTTCCAGACCGCCTCCCCTTTCTCCCCCTCCCCCTCCGCCATCCCCCTCCCCCCCGCCTCCTCCCCCCACCATCACCGTCCTCCTCGCCCCCCCTTCCCCTCCTCCCCCTCCGCCCTGCTCCCTCCCACCATCCACAATTGCGGGGGCAGCAGCGGGTGCAGTGGTGGTGGTGCTGGTGGTGGTGGTGGTAGTGGGGTTGGGAATTTGGAGGTGGAGGAAGGGGAGGAAGGGGACGGAGAAAACAGGGGAGGATCTGAGTGAGTGATGAGGGGAGAGGAAGAAAGGGGAGATTTTGAATGTAGATGGCATGAACACATGATTGCATGATTGCATGATGACATGATTGCATGATTGCATGATGGCGTGATGGCATGATGGTTGAACTTTTAGTGCAACGTGTTGGCATGTGGTGTGCGTTGTGTGTGTGGGTGGAGCGTTCTGCCCTCTTTCTCATCCCCCCCCCCCCCCTCTCCTCCTCCTCTGCCTTCTCACCACCCTTTTATCACCGAACCCCCCTTGCTCCCTCAACTTTTGCTCAAGGAAAAACAAACAAACAAGAAGCGACCAACCAACAAACAATCCAACAAAGCAACAAGGAAATGAGCCGATCTCACCTCTGCTTCTTCCTCAAGGATTGTCGCTTCTCGTTCCCCCAACTCATTCTTCTACCATTTCCTTCTTCCTGCCTTCCCCCTCCTACCTCTCAGCCTCACCTATCCCAAGGCGCCCCCCCCCCTGCCCGCACATCCCCCTGGCGGACATCCTCCGAGCCACCAATGGGTGGGCGGAGGGGCGGAGGGTGGGGGGAGGCAGGTGGAGTGACGTGTACCGGGGGGAATGGATGGAGGAGGAGGAAGCAGGGGATGAGGAGAAGCATGGGGGGGAGGATGCGGAGGTAAGAGGAGCGAAGAAGCGGCAAGGGGGAGAAGTGTCGAAGGGGAGGGGGGAGGGGAGCGACAAGGGGGAAGGGTCACAAGGCAAGCAACTATCAGGGGCGAAGGTGTGGAAAGGGGGGAGGCGGGGGGAAAAGTGGGCAGTGAAGCGCATGAGGGGAGGGATGCATGGGACAGAGAGCGCGGAGCTTGAGGCTCATGTGGCAGGCTTGGCTTCCCTTGTGCACCCCAACGTGCTTGGGCTTGTGGCCTGGTGCTGCTTCCCTGTAGCGGGGGAGAAGGGGAGGGGGGGCAGAACTAGGGAGCGTTGGGAGAAGCAGGGGGAAGGGGAGAAGGAAGGGAGGCAGCGGGAGGGGGGGAATGAGGTGGTGCTGGTTTACAAGTGGATGGAGCGCGGCAGCCTGCAGGCAGCTCTGCAGCCAGGTGTGCTCCATAGTGTTAGAAAGAAAGCTTGAATTCATGTGTGAAATGTAAGGCACTCGACCTTAGTTGGGTTGAGGAAGGGAAGGGAAAGAATGGGATGGGAGAGTCCCACCAAATCGCCAGTGTTGAATTGAATGACGAGATCATCCACTTCTAAGATTAAGATAGCGAATCTACACAACCCACCCTCTCCTGCCTAGTTTCACAACAGCGCCTCTCGCTTGCCCCGTCACACCAACCCTTTATCGTGTCCATCCATCTCCACCCGCTCTGCCAGGCGCCACGCCCTTATCGCTGCAGCAGCGGGTGGGCATAGCAGTGGGCGTGCTGAGGGCGCTCAAGGCAGTGCAGAGCCACGGGCAAGTGCATGGCGACCTCAAACCCTCCAACGTGCTGCTTGGGCCCTCCTTTGAGGTGCGTGCGTTGCTTCTCGTCCTGCTGGCATGCCCCTCCCGCTGAGTCCACATTATGGCGCGATGCCCCATCCGTGCTCGCATCAAGTCCCTCCCCCGCCTCTCGTCCCCTCCTCCACCTCCTTGCCTCTCCTCCCCCCCCCTTTTCTCCCAGCCACGTGTGGGTGACTGGAGTGTGGTGCGCATGGGGCGGCGAGTGCATGTGAGCATGGGGCGGCGAGTGCATGTGCGCATGGGGCGGCGAGTGCATGTGAGCATGGGGCGGCGAGTGCATGTGAGCATGGGGCGGCGAGTGCATGTGAGCATGGGCGATGGCTTGGAAGGGCACCGGGAAGGCTTCTTCGCAAGCGGGAGGGGGGATGACAGGGGCACCAGCAGCAGCAGCAGCAGCAACAGTGGCACTAACAAGAATAGCAGTTACAAGAGTGATAGTAGTGGGTATTCTTGGAGCTCCGATAGGAGTGCCAGCAGGAGCAGCAGCAGAAAGAGCAGCAGCAGCAGCAGCGGCGGAGGGGAGCAGAAGGTGTATGTGCTGCGGTGCACGGAGGGGCATGTGGACCCGGCTGTGGTGCAATCCGGCATTGCCACTCCCACCAGTGACATGTACAGGTGGGGCTTTAATCAGTGACATGTACAGGTGGGGCTTTAATCAGTGACATGTACAGGTGGGGCTTTAATCAGTGACATGTACAGGTGGGGCTTTAATCAGTGACATGTACAGGTGGGGCTTTAATCAGTGACATGTACAGGTGGGGCTTTTATCAGTGACATGTACAGGTGGGGCTTTAATCAGTGACATGTACAGGTGGGGCTTTAATCAGTGACATGTACAGGTGGGGCTTTAATCAGTGACATGTACAGGTGGGGCTTTAATCAGTGACATGTACAGGTGGGGCTTTAATCAGTGACATGTACAGGTGGGGCTTTAATCAGTGACATGTACAGGTGGGGCTTTAATCAGTGACATGTACAGGTGGGGCTTTAATCAGTGACATGTACAGGTGGGGCTTTAATCAGTGACATGTACAGGTGGGGCTTTAATCAGTGACATGTACAGGTGGGGCTTTAATCAGTGACATGTACAGGTGGGGCTTTAATCAGTGACATGTACAGGTGGGGCTTTAATCAGTGACATGTACAGGTGGGGCTTTAATCAGTGACATGTACAGGTGGGGCTTTAATCAGTGACATGTACAGGTGGGGCTTTAATCAGTGACATGTACAGGTGGGGCTTTAATCAGTGACATGTACAGGTGGGGCTTTAATCAGTGACATGTACAGGTGGGGCTTTAATCAGTGACATGTACTGGTGGGGCTTTAATCAGTGACATGTACAGGTGGGGCTTTAATCAGTGACATGTACAGGTGGGGCTTTTATCAGTGACATGTACAGGTGGGGCTTTTATCAGTGACATGTACAGGTGGGGCTTTTATCAGTGACATGTACAGGTGGGGCTTTTATCAGTGACATGTACAGGTGGGGCTTTTATAAGTGACATGTACAGGTGGGGCTTTAATCAGTGACATGTACAGGTGGGGCTTTAATCAGTGACATGTACAGGTGGGGCTTTAATCAGTGACATGTACAGGTGGGGCTTTAATCAGTGACATGTACAGGTGGGGCTTTAATCAGTGACATGTACAGGTGGGGCTTTAATCTCACCTGCCAGTGCATGTGGGGCTTTAATCAGTTGAATATTCAGGTAGAGCTTTACCTTACGTGTCTCTCCACCTGCAATCTAACTCTTTCAGTGTGTTGCCTGGCTGAGAGGAATGAGACGTGTGTGTTGTGTACCACTCCCCCTCACCCGACTGCACTAGATGCCATCTTCCCTCTCCCTCCTCTCCAACCTCTCCCCTCCTCCTCCACCTCCTTTCTCCCCTCCCTCTTCCCATCTCCACCCCTTATGATCTTCCCTTTTCCAATTCCACCCTGCGTTCGCCAGTGTGGGGGTGTTGCTGCTGCAGCTGCTCACCTCCCCCCTCCACCGCCCCCCCATCCCGCCTGTGTGCCCATCCCCCCCGCCAGTGTGGGAGTGCTGCTGCTACAGCTGCTCACAGGGTGGGCGGGTCCCTTCAGGGATGTGGATGGGCAGCGCACCCACATCTACCACTGGGTGCGTGGGGCTCTGGCAATCAGGGCATGGTGTGGCGTGGCATGGTGTGGCATGGTGTGGCATGGCATGGCATGGCATGTCATGGCATGGCATGGCATGCAATCGCATAGGCTGAGCAGCCACCCATTTCTATATCTGGGTGCGTGGGGCTCTGCCGGTCAGGGTAGTATGGTCTGGGATGGCATGGCATGGCATGGCATGACAGGAGATGAGGTAGCATGGCAGGGAAGGGCAGGAAAGGGCGTGGCAGGGCAAGGCAGGCAAGGCTTGGCATACAAGGGCATGGCAGGGCAGGGCAGAGAAGGGCAGAGAAGGGCAGGGAAGGGCAGGGAAGGGCAGGGAAGGGCAGGGAAGGGCAGGGAAGGGCAGGGAAGGGCAGGGGAGGGTAACGGAGGGAGGGCAGGGGAGGGCAGGGAAGGGCATGGAAGGGCATGGAAGGGCATGCAAGAACATGGCGGGGAAGGGCATGCAAGAACATGGCGGGGAAGGGCATCGAAGGGCATGGCAGGGCATCGCAGGATGTGGAATGGCATGGCATGGCACGGCATGGCATGGCATGGCATGGCATGGCATGGCATGGCACGGCATGGCGTGGCACGGCACGGCATGGCATGGCATGGCATGGCACGGCATGGCATGGCATGGCATGGCACGGCATGGCATGGCATGGCATGGCATGGCATGGCACGGCCCACCTCCCCCTCTTCCCGCTCCCTCCCTACCCCTGTGCACCTCCCCACCTGCTTCCCCTTCCCTTGCCCACCTCCCTCTCCCCCTCCCCTTCCCCACTCACAGACCCAACAGCACCTAACAGCTGGTGACTTATCCCCTCTTCTCGACCCCCTGCTGCCGCCCCCCCGCCCCTCTCCCGCCCTCCTCCTCCCACTCTTCCACCTTGCCCTCGCCTGCTCCTCCTCCTTCCCCTCCTCCCGCCCCACCCCCACCTCTGCCCTCGACGCTTTCAGGCCCTTCCGCTCCTCCCTGCTTGATCGGGTGAAATCAGGGGACAGGGAGGGGGGAGAATGCGGGGAGGGGGGGAAAGGGGAGGGGGTAGAAAGGGGGAAAAAGGGAGAGGGGGAGGGAGGAAAGGAGAGGGGGGAGTGGAAGAGGGGAGAAGAGGAGGGTAGAGGAGAAGGGGAGGGAGGAGAAAAGGGAGAGGATGTGGGGGAGTGTGTGAGGGTGGAGAGTGGAGGGAGAAGGAGTGGGGTGTCCATTGAGGAAAGCTCTGAGGGAGCGGGGAGATGGAACGGTGGCAGTGCGCTGGGTGCCAGGCTGGCAATGCTCGGTGCAGTGGATAGTAGGGAGTACGTGGTGTAGACGTGCAAGCATTCTCTGCCTGTGTATAGTGGATGAGGGATTATCTATCCATATATAGGGTATGCGTCATCTATCCATGTACACTAGAAGACGCACTCAGGTGTGCCACCATGCCATCTTGCCAATTGCCATCATGCCATCGTGCCAATTGCCATCATGCCATCGTGCCATCTTGCCATCTTGCTTCTCTAAGCAACCGCACAGACCTCAACCACTTGTCGCAGCATGATGGAAGAGTCGAAACGAAAATGGAGGGGCCAATATCATATACACATGATGCTTAACCTCTGCCCAATTCTGAATCCCTGCCCATGAACAATTGGTGCCAGGAAGTTGCATGTGGTTTACAGACCCGCCAAGCAAGTTGTAACAAGAAGTCGGTTAGTCAAACTGGCAACACGTGGAATAAAAACAGCCCATATAACGATGGTAGCAAAAAGGACAGAAGCAAAAAAAAAGAGTATGCCAAGCTTCCTTGCTCGCAAAAAACACGTGCTATTCTTGAGTTTTTTACAAGCACAAAATTGCAAGCTGCCTGCGATGTTGATGAACCAGTGTGAAACGCAGGAAAGTTTAAGTAAACTTGAAAAGCAGTGGCATGTGGGACTCGAATGGGCCTGAACTGTATACTCAAATTATGCCATTGATGTTTTCAGGCGTAATCACGAACGGACATTGTTTCGCTATATAGTATTGGCGATTCTGTGGAACCCTGCTTTTACAGTCACTAAACAAAATTGGATCGAGTCGCAGACCAGAACTGTAGCACAAGGGAAAAAACTCAAACTTGTAGGGAACCTGGACAGGTTTCGGGACGGGACGGGTCAAACCTACACTCGAAAAGCCGCCCGATGTTTGGGATTTCAGCCCTTAAGAAATCACTTTTATCTTACAGGTACCTTAATCTAACAAATATTGGTTGGTGTTACGGGTGCAATGAATCGAGGTAGCGAGAATTGCACTAAAGGTGTCAAACGAGTACAAAATGTGAGCGAAGGCATGAGCGATTATTTATACGCGAAACATGCAAAACGGTAACGCGGTGCGTGCGAGCTTGCTAGTGCTACGCTGGAACGAGGCTCGGGCTAGTCCCGAAGCGTAGGCCGATACGGCCATGCCAGCAGTGCGAGGTTTGGCAAAACAGTGCGCGCGAAGTCGGCGAAGTTCCGTTAGCAGTAACGGGCGAACAATCGGCTGTTGCTGTACGCGATGTAGTCGGCTCCGTAAGGAATGCCGAGAAAATTCCTTACACTACCCCCCCCCCCTTAAGAAGCCCCCTCCGCTACGCGAGTGCGTGTATATTGCGGAATCCCCGGCTCCTCAGGTACACTTGCAGGGCAGGGTGATTTTCGATGTTGCTCAGGGGCACCCAGCTATCTTCAGTTGGCGTGCGGTCTTTCCAGCGAACGAGGAATTCAATCCTCCTGATTCCCGTGGGGTGGCGGATCCGATGGCTCAGAATTTTTTCGGGCTCGATGATCGGCTCTGATGCAGGGCGAGTCATTGATTGTGGCCGGTGACGCGGCAGTTGACTTGTGGTCGGGATGTATGGGCGAAGTAGGCTGACGTGGAACGAAGGGCTGATGTACCAGTCGGTTGGCAACAGTAGGTGCGCGGTGACAGGTGTGATCATGTGACTGATTTGGAATGGTCCGCAGTAGCGCGGTCGTAATTTTGGTACGTCGGGCAGTCGCAGATTTTGCGTGTCAAGCAGCACGTAATCTCCAGATTGGTATGTGACAGGACGGCGGTGGCGATCAGCGTTGCGCTTAGCGATGACGTTGGCCTTTTTTATTGCTTCGGCGGCTCTGGCGCGGGCAGCTTGCAGGACTTCGGCGAATTGTTGTGCACGTGGCGTTGGGTTGTCCGGACTCGGCGTCATGGGCACTGTGGGGTTTTGCCCATAGTTCAGGTAGAACGGGGACTGCTGCGTCGTGGCTGATGTGGCGTTGTTGTACGCGAACTCGATCAGCGGCAGCTGCTGCTCCCAGGTCGTGGGGTCGTCGCACGTGGCACAAATCAATTGCTCCATCGTCTGATTCGTCCGCTCCGTTTGGCCGTCGGTCTCGGGGTGGTACGACGAACTGAACTGTAGCCTGGTCCCGAACTGCTCCCAGAGGTTCTTCCAGAAGTTGCTGGTAAACTTCGTGTCCCTGTCGCTGATAATTGCTGCTGGTATCTCGTGCAGGCGAACAACGGCTGCGATGAACAGGCGAGCGGTCTCCTCGGCCGAGATCGACTTTTTGCACGCAGCGAAGTGTGCCATCTTCGTCAGCCTATCCACGACGACCATCACCGCGTCGTTACCCCCAGGGTTCGAAGGTAACCCTGTGACGAAGTCCATGGTTACTTGCTGCCAGGCGCGTTCGGGCGGTGGGATCGGCTGCAATTGACCCGCCTTCCGCTTCCTTGAACTCTTCATCACCTGACACGTAGGGCACGAGCCCACGTGCTGCTGTACGTCGGTCAACAGCTCCGGCCAGTAATAGTACCGCTGCAGTTGCTGTCGTGTTTTTTCTACCCCGAAATGTCCCGAGGTAATCCCGTCGTGTGCCTCCTGAAGTAGCAGCTCCCTCAGTAGTGAGTACGCGGGTACCCAAATGCGGTTGGTGCCTGTTTTTACGTAATAGACTCCTTTTGCTTCTGCCAGTTGCTGTGAATTTCCGGTCGTGAAAAATGGGTCGGTGCGGTATCCGTGGGTAAATAGGCCAGTTAAAAGTGGGTTGGTCTGGGCGAGTAGGATGGCGTGGAGTTGGGCGGTGGGGCGGGTGAGAGCGTCGGCGATGTTGGATGCTCCTTTTTTGTACGTGACGGTGTAGTGAAAATTGGACTCGAGATAGTCCAACCAGCGAATCTGTCGTGGGTTGAGATTCGGTTGGGCGCGAAGGTACTGTAGCGAGCGGTGGTCTGTCCGTACTGTCACGTCGGCGCCAGTCAGGTAACATCGCCAAACTTTGAACGCGTGCACGATCGCTAGCATCTCGCGGTCGTGTATCGGGTAGTTACGTTCGGGCGGGTGTAGTTTGCGGGACTCGTACGCGATTGGCTGGAGGCCATTCCCAAAGTCCTGCAACAGTACTGCTCCCACAGCGATGTCACTTGCGTCGGTGACGAGCTCGAACGGACGGTGGGGATCTGCAATGCGAAGGACGGGCGGGGAGCACAAAATATTTTTGAGGGCCGAGAAGGCAGCTTGCTCTTTCTCCCCCCACGTGTACTCAACCCCCTTCCTCAGCAGGTCGGTCAACGGGGCAGTCAGCTTTGCCATGTCGGGGACGAACCGGCGCACGTAGTTGACGAACCCCAGGAAACTCTGCAACTCGGTCAAGTTGGTCGGCGCGTGCCAAGCCTGAATCGTCGCAATTTTCTTCGGGTCTATTTCCACTCCCGCAGCTGAGATAACATGTCCCCAAAACTCCAGGCGGTCCCGTAAAAACTCACACTTAGATGCTTTGGTCAGTAGGCGGTTCTCACTTAGGATTTTAAAAACTGCTTCGATGTCTTGTAAGTGCTGTGCTCTGTCAGGGCTGTAAATCAGTATGTCGTCCAGATAAACGATGACGCACTTATCTAAAAGCGGGCGGAATGCTTCGTTCATGGTCATTTGGAAGGTGGCGGGGGCGTTGGTCAGTCCGAATGGCATTACGGTGTATTCGAAGGATCCGTAGCGTGTTCGGAATGCGGTTTTAGGGCAGTCGGGTGGGTTGACGCGGATTTGGTGGTAGCCTCCTCGGAGGTCGATTTTCGAGAAAACCCGGGCTGTGCGCAGTTGGTCGATCAGTTCGTCGGCTCGTGGGATGGGGTAACGGGATTTGATGGTAACCCTGTTCAGTGCCCTGTAGTCGATACACATGCGAAACCCCCCGTCCTTTTTCGGTGTGAATAGTATGGGTGCGGCGAAGGGCGACGAACTAGGGCGAATGAATTCCTTTTCGAGCAGGTAATCGAGCTGCTTCCTCAGTTCGTCTAGTTCGGGTTGGGTCAGTCGGAACTGTCGCTGTACTGTTGGCTGTGCCCCCGGTTCCAATTCTATCCTGTGATCGTGCGGTCGCTGAGGTGGCAGTCCCGTCGGCAGATCGTCCGGGAAAATGTCACTGTACTGTTTTAACAGTGCCGCCAGGTCACTCGGTACGTCGGTCAGCAGTTTCTGTAAATCGCCCCCCTTGTCTGCTGCCTCGGCTTCCCGAATGTCAACCGCGTACACGTCGGCTCCGACCGCAACAGCGCGTTTCATCGTGATCGCATTGACACGCACCGACGAAGACTCAGGCGAGCCCCAGCGAGGTAAGGCGATGTTGTTACCGTTTACTCGCACGGTGCAGTCACCCGTCGTCCAGTCAATTCGCGGATTGTGTCGTCGCAGCCAATCACGCCCGAGTAAAATGTCGGTTCCGTCGAGGGTCGTTGCGAGCATTTCCTGACTAAACGTGAAGTTACCCCCGCATCGAATCCGAACTCGGTCTACGCGTTCCCGTATTGCCAGCGGCGTGCCGTCTACCAGTCGTGCGTCGATCTCAGGTAAGCATCGGTCCAGTGGCAGTCGCAGTTTTCGTGCTGTAGCAGTGTTAATGAGGCTGTGGCTGGCTCCCCCGTCTACGAAGATTTTAACTAAGTCCGTCCCAATTTTCCCACTGAGCAGTATGGGGCTATCTACCGTGGTACCCTCCTTATTCGGCCGGGTGTGGTCGATTGCGTGAACCGGCACAATCACTCGGTGAGGGTCGGTTGGGTCGGGCGAGCGGCGTGACCTGTCAGTAGAGGGCCCGTCTGTTACTGACTTCCAGCGTTTCCCTGCTGCTTGGTCTGTGTCTGCTGCTCAGCTTCCCCCTTTTCCTTAGCGTTTTCCGGGCATTCGCTCTTGCGATGTCCCGGCCGATTGCACGCAAAGCAGCGCCCTTTGAACGGTGCGGCAGCGGCATTTGCGGCGACGGCGCGTATCGTGGCGCTCTCGTTTGTCCCACGAGGCCGATGTCCCCAGGTGTTGTTTCCGTAGGACCCCG